ATATATATATATATATATATATATATATATGTAAGTCTCCGACGACAATATGTACAAAACGACAATATGTACCGTCACATTACAAGTTTTTTTTGGGGGGGGGGGGTGTTAGATAAATGCTTTTTTAATGATATTAAAAAGAGCAAGACTGTTTGTACTTTCACATACGTCGTATGAGATCACGACTTTCATATTTTTCCATCAAAGAATATTTTGTAAGTGTTGTTACTCAGATTCCTCGTGTTTTTGTTGAATTTGAACCTCTTTCACGACAACGCAATATAGAAATTCATTCTTAGGCCTCAAATACTAGTTAAAGATTCCAGAGAAAATGAAGCTGAATCTTTAAGTAAGGAGTTTATTCATTTCCTTATTCTATTATTTTCCTTGTTCCAATGAAAAAAATAAAGGAGAAAAAATATTAATGGAACAAGGGAAAGAGTAGAATGAAAAATAAACAAAGTTCTTACTTACGCAGATCATAGAGCGACAATCTTTCATCTGAAGGGAAGGGAAGGGAAATACTAGAGATGCAGCTTCATTGTCTATGGAATCTTTAACCAGTATTTTGGGACCTACGAATGAATTTTAATATTGCTATGTCGATAAGGAAATTAAAATCAAACCAAAACACGAGGAATCTGAATAAAGACACTAACAAAATATTCTTTGATGGAAAAATTTGAATGTTGAGGTCTCAGGCGACGTATGTGAATGTAAAAATAATCTCGCTGCGTTTTATGATTATTAAAAATTAGGAATACAGCATTTATTAAATCTGAGGAATGTTAAGTAGTTTCAAATGTATTTTGTCTTAAGATTTGTACATGTACAAATATATATTACAACTACAAGCGTTTTGTCATTGACAAAGATGTACATGTACAAAATGATACATGTTAAAGTCAATTAATTCTGCGTACATAATAGAGTTACTCTTACTTGTAATTTGACGGCTTATATCGACCATCGTAATTTTGGCACTTAGTATTGATGCGAAATATCTATCCAACATCAAACTTCTTTCATTTATGTCTTCAATGCATCTTTTCCAACAAAAGAGAAATGATGGTTTGTCAATTCAGATAAAATTCATGAAAGAAAAGCCCAAACAAACATAAAGCTTAAGTATTAAAATTGTTAAATTACTTCAAACAGGTTTTGATATTTCCCTAGCTTTTTTGCTAACAGTTTTAGCTCTATAGTTTTATTACCCCAATTATATATTGTAATCATTTATTAAGAAAAAAAATTGAAATTGAAACTCAGACTTAAAATATCATTTCTTTTAGTAAACACGATTTTGTAATAAATCTTTCTCAAATGAATAAATATAAGCACGGGAAAAAATTATAAAAAAAATATTTTCATTTTTACTTATGCATTAATCAATTAATGAAATACTGTAAACCAACTATTTTTGCGTGCGCGAAGCATCCGCAAGTTACGCGATCTTCTTTTACTCGCGAATAATTCTCGTCGCGAACTAAAACTTTTGATTTTATTTTTGTGTAGAATATCTTCTCAATCGAGAAAATTTATCACCGCAGATATGTTTCAAACTGAAGAATCGTGAAAAATAATTGGTTGACAATAATAAAAAGACCAACCACATAGCCCATCCCCAAAAGGGAAAAAAAAGGAACAATGTTTCAGAATACGTGAAAGAGATTTATGTACAAGAAAAGATAATATGATATAACCCTAGATATGATGGAATGCAATTATTGGAACACCTACAACGTTTAGCATCATCAATTTAAATAATGGGTAATCGAGGTCAGAGACGAAGCTATACTTATACTTATTTTCTAATTCCAATACACAGTGCTGGCCTTCTCTAATGATCTATTTCCTGACAGACTTCGCCACAGGTTCTTAAAGAGATACATTTACTTTTAGCAATGCCTTTATAAATGCCTATAAATATTATGAATTTGTTAAACTGCTTACATGTCTATGAGCATAGGTTAAACAGGAGGCCTCTGGCCTTGATGGTTATCTGAGTATCAATATTCTTCGGTTATGACCGTTTGAGCTACACAACCAAAAATGAATTTGAATTACCATATTATACTGGATTCTGAAAATTCATAAAAAATCCTTACAAACAAAGATACATACATGTAGCTGGTTTCAGTAAATGTACTACCAAGCCTCTTTCTTTACTCCTCACTAATATATCAACACCAGTGAAGGAGAAACTTCAGAAGTACTGTGCAACAATATATTCGACAATTGGTGTAAAGCAGATGTGGATACTTAAAAATTCCAAGGAACTTCTGGAAAATTTGAAATTACAAAATTTTACCAAAATCAATAACATAAAAACTTATGACTTTTCAACTCTATATACAACCATTCCCCACGATAAAGTAACGCCAGGCCTTTTGACATCACTGACAGCTACTTTTTCAATAAAAATTGAACTCGTAGATTTATTTACCTTGTCATTGGTCATTTGCAAAATTATTTTTAAAAACATTCTGATTGTACACACAAGTACTCTGAAGTTGATATTAAAAAAAAATGCTTGAGTGTCTGATTGACAATATCTATGTGGTTTTTGGAGACCAGGAGCCCGTTTTACAAAAGAACTTACGACTAAGACTAAATGTAATTTTGCAAAGAACTTTCTTTTTTACGTAGATATGAAAATGGTTTTAATCTTTTTTAAAAGAATTTAGAAAGGTGTATTTATGTCGGCAAAATGTAATAAAATCATTAATTGATTGTGCAAGATTTTACAATCACTTAAAGTTTTTGATCTTAGTCGTAAGTTCTTTTGTAAAATGGGCCCCAGGTCTTCCAACGAAATCTTATGCATGAAAAAAAGAAGAAATCTCTTGCTGTGGCCTTCAACTCGACATTTTGATATATCGACGACGTATTGTCAATTAACAGGTTATTTCCATTCATATGGCGACATGATAGATCCCAGTGAGCTTGAAATATAAAGGATACCACAGAGTCTGACACATCTGTTTCATATTTGGATATTTTACTACAAAAAGATGTTAATGGTAATCTAACAGCAAATCATTATGATAAACGTGATGACTTTAACTGTTCAATCATAAACTTCCCTTACTTATGTAGCAATATACCCTTATCACCTGCATAAGGAGTGTATATCTCTCAGTTGATTCGATACACATGAGCATGCTCTACGTTTGATCAATTTCTAAATCGAGGTAAATTTTTGACAAACAGGAAACAAGAATATCAACAGTCTCGTTTAAAGTCATCTTTTTCCTAAATTCTATGGTCGATACAATGACCTTGTCAGCAAATACAATCTATAATTAAGGGCATTATTCACACACTGAATTATCGGCGGATTTCCCGTTATTTCCCAATCATGACATGGAGCACACTGCGGGAGTGACCGCTCGGCAGGGGATGCTTACTCCTCCATGGCACCTGATCCCACCTCTGATGTTTTTGGAGGTCCGTGTTTGCTCTGCCCCCAATTTGTATTGTACAAATGGAACTTGAATGCTGTTTGTTATCTCCATACTTCATGTACATTATCACATTGCATAAGGCTTGTCTCTCAGATGCACAGGAGTATACTTTGAATATTATGAAGCTACATTGTGATCCCACCCTGATGCCTGATCCCTGAGGACACAGATTTCATATCATAAAACGCTCATAGCTTACTTCCATCATGCATACAGTTTGCTTGTCATTAATGGAATTTTGAAAGATACATTGTATTATAATTTTTCAATATATGATCAGCTATCCATTCTTCTAGTGCCATAATCAAAGGACATGAATTCTCTAATTTCGCTAAAGGGCAAATTGCTCATTATAATCATGTATACAATTTCGCTTCTAAATAACCATCAGTAAAGAGGAAAAACTTTCAAAGATGTATATTATTTACAATATAGGACTAAACCTAAGATCCATGGGGGACTGCAACCCAATAAACATGAATTTCATAACTTGTTAGATGGCTAATAGCTTATCATACTTATGCAAGTTTTTTTGCTAGATTTCCATGAGTAATGAAGATTATCAAAAGGTGTGACTCATTTTCATGATATGGCTTAAACCGGCCCTCGAGTCAGAGAACATGCCCATGAGACCGTGAAAATTATTTCTTTTCCCTACATTTTACATAATCTAAAGGGTGCATTTTGCCACACTGCGTGGAAAATATATCGGAAGACAATTTTGAAACACACAAACCTTTGAGTTAACAAACGTTTGAGTTAAGTATTAGAGTCCAGTTATCACTGTTCAGTCTTAACAAGGTTTAAAACGTAAGTTTCTCATTGTTTCCCCTGCTTATATCCCAGGGCTCTTAACAGATTGTGTTTTCTAATAAAAGTACATCAACACGATATCTCATCAGAAGAAGAACCAATGAGAAACTTTTTATTTATTTTCGAAATAGTCTTTAGTTGTCCCAATACCAAAAATAACGAAAATAAGGTAGCATGAAAATATACTGAAAACATCTTTTGTTACACGTTTTAAATTTCGTATTTTTCATGTTGGTACACCTCAGAATGATTTTTATTTAACGGTCACTGATTTTCTCAATTTGGAATATTTGTTTTATGCTCTATTAAAGAAAGAAAAAAGAAAGAAAAAGGGAACTTGTACAGATAAACGTATCAAGAAACTGAATTTAAGCCATTTTTAACCTGAGGTTTCTATATGATTTCCAAGGATATCATTTTTCTATTACAAACAAGGTATCAAAAAAGATTTTAATTTTAGATAACGTATTTGCTATATTTAATATACGAATGCTTACACTGATATGTTCAGAATATTAACTATGGCTTCATATTCCTAGAAAAAATTTTATCGCGAATATAGTGAAATTGAAACCCAGTGTAATGCATTTCATTTTGACAATATGTAAACCATTAGGACGCCTGGTATAAACTGCACAATATTTACAAACTGAAATACTGCAATTAATCAATAAATATCTAAATGGTCACAATGCTTGATGTAAATGCAGTGTAACTTACATTTCAAGGTACTTGTTGATACGTTTACAAGATACTGACGACTCATCAGAATTGTCAGGGATGCACTCGGCTTCCTTCTTCTCTCTTAAATAGAGGGTTTTCTAACCATGAGTACTTACATAATACAAGTCATCTAAATTCGAATACTAGTATATCAATTAACAAACAAAATTGATGCTTATCAGACCTTTTATTCACAAGAAATATCAATGAAAATCATGAACTGTATTAAGGACAGATGATACAAACTTTTAATAAAAATCATAGAAATAACAATTCAAGTCATTCTTACAAGTAATTGAATAAATTTAATTGCATAGATTTTGATTTTTCATTCAAAGTTTCACAATAATGGGATTTAAAAAGAAAAAAAAGTTGTATAGATTGATTTGATTAGAACATATTTGATTGCAATAATATATACAAAGGGATCGGGCACAAGTTCTAAAAACTTAATTCGCCCTCTCCGTATAGATTAATAAGGATGGTTGCAGAAAGGTAGAATTTTGAACATCAAAGAAAGATTACAATTTCTTAATATTCTGGAAATTATTTGCATCATTTACACCTAAAATAGGTCCAAAAATATATACCAATCCTGGCATCCATTTTGTTTGTTTGTATCATCTGTACTTAATAGGATTTTTTTTAACTTTTCTTCAATGCTATATTTTTCCCTCTAACACTTATCTATTTGAATCTAGTAATTTGCTTTCATTTCATTTGAATTAGATAAAAATTTCACTGTTCATGACTATAGTTAAAACCTGAGTGACTCAGGTGACCTAAAGATAGACATCCTACTCATTACCTCACCGCTATGCAAATTGAAAATGATCTACATTGCCTTATACATTCACAAAAAATTGATATGACATACTGATGTCATAAACTATTTTATAAATACTGCATGTAGTTGAGGGTAACATTTAAAATTTTCACCCCGAAAAAAAAATTGTTATCCTAAACGCAGCCGAGATTGACAATGGTTTTCTTGGGGTGAAAGTTTTCAATGTTACCCTTAACTATATGCAGTATTTATTATATCGGATGTTTTATTCTGATACAAATAACTGTTATCGATCCGTGAGCGTATGAATTCCGGGCATTCAACATTGTTTTTTGAAATTCACCCGTCGTCAAGTTATGCTGACTGTTGCTACATTCTGTTATATAATTCAGAGGGTAACAGTGATTTTACACAAATATTTCTCAACGAATCAAATTCAACTTATTTACAAGAAAGTATAATATCTAAGGAAAGAGCGTAAAAGCTTATGCAAGCTTACTCTCTTATGATTGTTAGAACATACATAATACTTAATGAAAAAGATGAAGATAACGAAACTCGATAGATGTCAAAAAATAAACAAACACGACAAATCTGTGAACAAAGCATAAAAAACGGAGCCCCGGAATTTCCAGAGGTGGGATCAAGTGCCAAAGAGGATTAAGTATCCCCTGTTGACCGGTCACACCCGCCGTGAGTCCTTTGTATTGATCAGGTAGACAGAACATTCTGTAGTCATCTGTAGTCATATTTAGTATAAAAACAAAGACCTAACAATCGGTATGAAACATGTAAGCCAAAAACGAACTAATGATAGGTTATACCTGATAAAAAAAATCATTATAACGATAAAGAATTTACGAAATGCCGACTTTAAATAAATCAAAATAAATTTTACATATTAGAATCCAGGGTACTAACCATAAAACATAATGTTTCAAGAGTTCACGTTGTGCATAACACGTTGAATTGATGTGATGCATAACTTTAAAAAAAATAATAAAGACTACTATATGGTATGTAAAATAAAATTGGAAAAAAAACAAGTTGTAGCTCTTAGCTAAAAAAGAATGACAGTTTTCCTTCTTTTTTTTTGGCTTTGCATTCACCTCATGATCTTTGTAAGCAATGCATTCCAGTCTTTGAAAGCAATGTAGAAGAAATTCATAGACTATTTCTAATCTCAGATACAATATATAAAAATTCCTTAGTAAAATTAAAATCAAATTATTGGTAGCACTTAAAGTAATTTTAATATTCTTTAGTACAAAAACCATTGTGGGCAGTTAATCGACAGAAATGACCAACTTTGGGCCTGTCATTAGGGGACTAAGTAGGTCAAATAACTGAATGCAATGTAACTGCAAGATATTTACTGTTTAAAAATTCTAAAAGAAAAGAAAAAATGTTACTAAAGATTTTTTTCTATTACAAACATATACTACTATAAGACAATAATTTAACAGAATTTAACAGAAGTACTTGCAATATTCCTGAAAATCAAAGAAGATAACTGATAACTTTTATTAGCATTGCTCTCCCAACATAAAACAATTAAAGGTATCAAGTATCTAATTATCCTTTTAAAGCTAATTCATTTGAATGTCAACATTCATTTTCTCATTGGCTGTTTCAGACAACTATGCCACGTAAAGTATTCCCAAGCAGATAAAGTGGGAAGTGTTAATTGCAAAAATTTTCCATAACAAG